GCATGTTTTGTGTTTTGATTTACAAGATATGAGTGATTTTTTTTTTCTTCCATTGTATTTTAAGGGAAAATTTTAGTATTATAAATATTTTATAACTAATCAATTAGTTTCTCACCAAATCTAATCACTTTTGATGAGAAATGAAATAAGCTCAGTAAGGGAATCCTCTTTTTCACAATTTCTTACTTAACTTATAAATCAAACATGAGAAAAAGAGCAATTTTTTTATCAATCCCTTTCATTTCTCAGAATGGAGTGTAAGAATTATGTGTGATAACATAACATAATATATGTATGTACAAGGATGGATCCAGGGGACTCAAAAAATTTAAAAAGTATGTATATTATATTAGAATTAGTAAGATAATTTTAAATTAAAGTATACCTCCAAAATTTCAATAGTTTGCGCCCTTAAAATTATAAAGAATCATAACTCCGAATTATTTACATTACAAAATTTTTATAATAGTTTCAAATTGGATTTTATCAAATATTGTTCACAATTATTATCTTTAATTTTCATTATGCTTGTTATTTGTTGGGTTTCATTTTAATATAATACATTAATAAAGAGTTAACTACCTAAAAGTTCTATTTACAAATATTATGGTAGCTCAGGTCCTATTTAAGATTTTTTGAATTAATAAATCCTATTTAGTGAAACTAAGAATATTGTCAGTTTCTTCTAATTTTTAAAATTAAGAACATTATCAATTTTGCATAGTAATGTTTCAAATAATTGTTTCACTAACTAATGAAAAACAAACAGAGTATGAGATTAAACTTTTTTGCCCTTCTACTTGTTGGTTTGATTCAACTATCCAATAAAATCGAGAACATTATCAGTTTTTTTCAATTTTAAAACTGAGAATATTATCATTTTATTTATTTTTAAAGTTTATTTTTTATTTTTTATTTCAATTTTTCATATCACTGTTTCATCATTATTCTCCTTTATAGACACAAAATTTTCAATTTTGCACAAAAAATAATTCAGTTTTTTCAATTTTTCAAAAAAAACATATTAGGTTTTTTTCTTTTAGCACATAAATTTTTTTTTTTTCGTTTTTTCAATTTGAAAGTTGATGTTTTAAAGTTTTGAAAATCAAAATAAATATAAAATTATCATGTTTCTTTATAGATAATCATAAATGATGAATAATTATTGTTTGAATGGCAATTCCGACTATTAAAAATTTAATGGGATTTGAAAGTCTAAAAAATCTTAGTTAGCACTTAATGGAGTATAAGTTCAAAAATTAGAACTTGTGTGTAGCCTCATTAATAAATGATAAAATTATAATAAAAAATTAAATTAATATTCAAATTTAAAAAATTTTCTATTTTGAAAATTGAGAAAAATTTTCAATTGCAAAGCTCACAATTTTATTAGTTTTGAAACAAAAAAAATTTCTCAACTTTCATATAGTGACAATTTTCATAATTGTGTTATTGATTCTTATGGTTATTAATTTATGCTATTACAAGGAATTACAAGGATTGGGAATATCAAAGATAACATATAATTAATACAAAAAAAATCTCAATGCATGAAAGAAATCTTAAACAAATAGACATAGAATAAGATCTATATGCAAGTAAGAATATTCGAACCCTTGACCTTTTAATTGTGTGATTTCTTAAAGCCAAGAATTTTCAACGACAATTAACATTTTCATTACAAAACTAATAAACCATGACAGATACGGATACAACAAAAACTAAAGATTTCTCCAGTTAGAAAATAAAAAATTATATTACATCACAAACAAATAACCATAACATTTATGCTATTACAAGGATTAGGAATATCAAAGATAACATATAATTAATACAAAAAAAGTCTCAATGCATGAAAGAAATCTTAAACAAATAGACATAGAATAAGATCTATATGCAAGTAAGAATATTCGAACCCTTGACCTTTTAATTGTGTGATTTCTTAAAACCAAGAATTTTGAACGACAATTAACATTTTGATTACAAAACTAATAAACCATGACAGATACGGATACAACAAAAACTAAGGATTTCTCCAGTTAGAAAATAAAAAATTATATTACATCACAAACAAATAACCATAACACAAGTAAATTTTATTGCATCAACTAAAGTTATATTTGTGAATGTAGCTATAAGGAATTTTGCAATAGTGGCTTGTGTTTGGAGGAAAATGTCAACCAAAAAATATATATATATTTTTCACATTATTTTATATTTAATATAAATTTGGATTGACAAATGTTGACAATCATATTTCAAAAACGTAAATTTTATACAAAAAATGTATACAATGAAATTAATGATAATTTAAATATTTTAAATAAAAATATACCCTACAACATATAAGAGTTTTAAAAATCAAACTTTTTCGTTCTCAAAAGTAAAAAAAATTATTACAAAAAATATTGGGAGATCAATTTCTATCATCAGGGGAAAATCGTCTTAACAAGTCAAAAGAAAATACTTTTAGCAACAAAACTTAAAAATATCGCTAAAAATACTTTTAGCGATAATACAATTTCGTACCTATAAAATTTGATTTTTTAAAAAATAATTTTGGTCTCAAAAGGATGGGTTGGGGGTTACTACTGTGACTTAATCATAGCAACAACTGTTGCGCCTCACTACGTTGTCCATCCATCCAACTCTTTCTTTTCTATTTCAAATTTCAATTGGCTTGTTCTCTCTCAAAACCCTTTTCTTTTTCTTTCTCCTTTTAACTCCCTTTACTCCAAATAATATATATATATATATATTTGAGAATCTTCAATTTCAAATCAATGAGAAAGGTTACTCCATGAACCCCTAAAAAAGACATATTGTAAGAAAATTATAATATTTTCCAATAAAAATTATGAATTTTTTTTTTTTTGGATCTCAACAAGTCAATTTCAAATATATAAATTTTATTTAAAAAATGTATATGTAAAATAAAAGTGTTTGTTTTAAAATTGAAATACTAATGCGGTGTTTGGTTGGGAGATTTGTGGAGGGATTTGAAAAGGGAAAGGAAAAATGTATGTGAAATTAGGTGAAATGAAAAAAAAAAAAACTTAATTGCGACAACCAAACACAACGTAAAGGAAAAAAAATAAAGGCCACATCAACTTTTAGGGACGTTCATCAATACACTTAATTGCGACAAAATTAAAGTTACTTAAAGTTGGTATGGAATTTGTTTATTTAATAATTTTTTAACTTTTTATAAAAAAATATATAAATAATGTAATAACTCATAACAAATAAGCAAATAAACTGTTTATTTACTATGTTACCAAACCACCTCTTAATTTTTACTTAAAAATTTACGCTTTTTGACAAGGGTACGAGACCTAGGACCAACTCTGGGCATAAGCCAACAAAATAATCGCTTTGAGCCCTCAAAATATAGCCCAAAATTAGGACCCCATATATTGTCGCACTTATACATAATCCAACATTAAAATATGACTAGAAATGCCCAAACCAAAGGCCGAAAAGGGCCCAAACCAAAAGTAAAGGCCGAAATTTTTCTTCTTCTTAGCAACTGAAAGAAATAAGAGAGGGCCCACTATCAACAAATACACCAACAATGGCATTCCAAAATTGCCCTAAAATGAGAAATGACTTTGAAAGAAATAAGAGAGCGAGCCCACTATCAACAAATACATCAACAATGACATTACAAAATTTTTCTCATCGTGCTTTGCCAAGAAATGAGAATTCACTTTGCTGCATTTGGATAAATTATTTTTGGTATTATAACTTTATATTTTGTTTTACTTTTAATTTTTTGTAACTTGAATTTTGCTAAATAATAAAGCAACAAAATCAAATTTTAATAATTATATTCAACAAATTTTGTGCGGATACAAGAAATTTTTTTAAAAAATTGTGAATACTTACTATTTTATTAACAATTTTTTTTTTTTTTTTTTTTTACAATTTTTTTTTTTTTTTTTTGGTGTGAGATATCAAGGGCCTCAACTTGAAAGTTCACTTTGGACCCTGAAAAGTTCAGGACCGGCCCTGACGAGACTCATGTAAAACCCAGGCTCATATGAGAGTGTGTAAAATTTTTGGCAAAAAATTAGATACTTATATCCTTACTCATTTTTTTGTGATAAGAATTGCTCCAATGTGCAATGCACACTGTATACAATCTTATACAAAAATACATAACTTTTTATGAATTTACTTACGTAATCTCATAAAAATATATACACAAATTTATATTCAACTTATATAATTTTATATAAAATTATATACAGTATGCATTACACATTGAAAAAATTTCCTCATTTTTTTGTAATAGGTGCGCTTCACCAAAGTCATTGGACTGGAAGCCTAAACTTGTCCAACAAATTAGAAGAAATTAAAAACAAGATCTGCTGAGTTAAATTTTTGTCGTGGACTTATCCTCAAACAAGTCCTACAAATAAGACTTTCAAGTAATTAACACTTTTTTTTTTTTTATATTTAATTTAAAAGATCAATAATATTAAAAATATTAATAAAAAAATCAATAAATATATTAATTAGACACAATATTAAGCAGGCTCCAAGTCAAGTGGTAAGACCCGTGTGCAAACTATAGATTGATATATTTTTTAGTGTCTCAAATATTATTGGTAAAAGATACTTGACCACCGCAAAGTAGCTCCACAAAAAGCTAGAGGTGCAAGTGTCTACAGAATACCTTCATATTTTTTTTTTTTGTTTTTGGTTTTTGTTTTTTTGGCTTTTTTATTTTTATTTTTTATGTTACTTCTTTTTTTTTTTTTCAGGTTGTGAAATATATGAGCTTCATGCATCTTTGCTAAAATAATCCACTTCATAGAAATCCATTTCACTAGCTCAAAAACAAAATCAATAGACTACATAAAAGCCATCAAATTGTCCCACAAGTTAGAAAGACTACATTTTGTACACAGCAACATCTCACACTATGCTTCTATGCCCAGCATAAGAATATTCTAATTCACCAAATTCAAAATAACCTACTAACTCCAAAATGATGAGGATAAAAGTAATTACATATAAAGCATGAAAAGATAACTATTTCTTTTGGTTTGAAGAAACTTTGAGCACCTCTCTGCTTCCAACTTTTCATATGGAGATCCTAAAGAAAATTAAAACTTTCAACAAGATTCACATGTTTTCATACCAGAATAATGCTAATGTGATCACATTTCAACACCACATTAGAGTATCATATCATATGCGTGACTGTTTTACATGACACTATATCACTTGCAAAGTAAAATATACATAAGAAATAAAGTTCATCAAGTAATGTGATAGTGTCATGTAAATTACCATATCAGATGATACTAAAATGCAAATGTTGTTACTATTTATGGTATACTAGCCTAGCCTAAACAAAGGGTGTACAATAGTGAAGTAAACAAATCAGCATACAGGTGGTCAATTGGACACCTTGAATGTTCACACGAATGGAATAAGAAAGAGAGCAACTTTATTTTTTTTATTTCACTTTGGTCATGGACAATTAGGGTTTCTACCAGGACCACCATAGTAAAAGTAGTTGCCCCAATCACCATTATTCCCAATTTGAACATCATAGCAATTGGATTGCTCAGTGAAAGTGCCAACATCTTTAGGAGCTCTTAGATTGTTGGAACCATCTACAATCAGGATGTTTCTGAAGTAACTAGCTTTGCCAAACCCTTCTTCAGGGAAATGGCCACTGCCCATTTGGGTGGTGGTGTGTTGCCCATCTGATGCTGAGTTCACCACCTCTCCTCCCCACTCAATCATTGATGCACTATCGGCAAGGTACGAAAACAAGAAGGCTGGCCAATAACCCAATACATATTCATTCCCAAATTGCATCCACCAGTTACCCTCTTTTTGGTCCTACCAAATAACAACACCCATTATTAACAAAATCAAAATGATGTTCAAAAGAAGAAATGCTAGGGACAAAGAAAAGTAAAGACAAAGCAGTCCAAAAAGTGAAGTTATTTCTAGGAGAAAGTTTTATTTGTGTTTTAACTTACAGCAGTGCTCCAGACCCCCAGTGGGGGTGACTCCCAGCACCCCCACATCCACGTGGGGGGCAATGAGAGGAAGACCAAAAAAAAAAAAAAAACAAAACAAAAATGGGCCAATCATCATTCAATGGGGGTGGTGGGGGTCTCCCTGGGGTCTTACTCTTTTTTCTTTAACTTATTAGTTGTAGGTTTACCTAGTGAAACTTACTATTTTTATGTTCGTGTTTTTTAAAACATGAGAAATGTCAGTTAGCGACAAATATGGATCATTGCCACACAAACATTTTACTTATTTTTTCATAAAAAAAATGACTAAGAAATTAAAATGAGAGGACTAAGTTCATTCTGGACATAACTCACATCACACTATATTTGAATGTGCACCATACATTTCATTTTCTAGCTGTCTTGCATCCCTAACTTTTTTCTATACTAAAACTCTGTTCTTACCTAATTTTTATACAAAATTTATAATAATAATGATGTGATGGCTGTGGTATTTTTAAAAAATATAAACCACTAATATGCCTTTGCTTTAACTATTTTTGTTTCTAAATTTCGAAAAGGTGAATATAATTTATCTAAAAAATTAAATAATAACTAGTTCCTATTGCTAGGCACACGCACTGCCTCAGGCCCCGCTACAATCATATATGTACACATGTACATGACAGTGAAAAATGATAGACAAAAAGAAAATAATGGATATAGGAGCATATGAGATATGCCAGAGATTCTCTGCATCATCGTGTAATCTACTATACATAATTAAGTACACACCATTATAGTAAGATAGGAAGATTGGAACATTTGTTTTTACTCTATTTTATATAGAAGTTCCTTGAGTATTTAAATAAAAGAAGAGGGTAATATATAAAAGTCTATTGACCATATATATATATATACAAAATGTTACCTTCCAGACAAGTAAGCTGATATCATATTGGGAAGAACCATAAGCAGAAGTAGGGAAGATGCTGGCCCCCATTGCTATTTCATTGTTGATTTGAACGAAGCCTGAACACAGGAGGTTGTAACACCCGGTGGTTTGATATGCATCACTCTGTCATTTACCCATTTCACTTTTCACATCAACTTATTTCACTTTTAAACATATATATATAGAAAAATTGAAATACAAAAATTATTTAGGCAATTAGATACAGTTCGTTCGTTTACATGTAGTGGGTTTTGTGAATCCTTTCTTTTTGTAACATAGAAAAATGTTAAAAGAGCTCCAAAAAAAAAAAGAAAAAAAAAAAAAAAATTTATCAAAAATTGTGCAGGGCCCCCTATAGTGTGAGTTTTAAACCAAAGTGAGTATATATATATGGTAAAACTATGAACAAAAGATTAATCTTGAGAGAAGAATGTTGGGGAAAAAAATGAAGACTCACAGTCCAGTAGGTGAAAAGTCTGGTGTTGTTATCTCCATATAAGTCTGGGCTGACCTGTTTTTTTTTTCTCACAGAGAAGAGGGAGCAAAATGAGAATGGAAGTGCAACACAAAGGGAAAAGAGACAAACACAGAAAATGTGCAAATAAAAATAAAAGCGTATGGTGTTGGTCATATTTCTCAATGATACATTTATTTTTTATTTTTTTTTTAGTAACACTACAAATTTAGAAATTTTATCCAAAAAATTACTCAAATATATCAATATGTGATCCAAATTCATTCTACATATGGATCTCATAATATACTCATTCAATCTCCACCATACACTCTAATTCATTGCACAAATCTGGATCCCAAATCTGGATCACCAGACTAAACTTTTTTTTTTTTTTTTTCTTTGGGTGAATTACAAATACATACTTGTTTAAAATACGGATTGTCCTGCGTTTTAAAAAATTACAAATGGCCCCTCATCACAATATTTTATTTAACTGAATTAACTAAAAAACAATTATTTATTGATTTACCATAAAAAGGAAAATTAGCGAAACATGTCTCTCCAATTTTCTAATTTTAAAATAAAGTATTGTCTCTTCAATTACAACAAATGTCTCTTAATTTTGTACTAATCTTGTTTGGTAATAATTATTTTTTAGTCAATAATGAATATTTATAATGTATAAAATAAATTGATCATTCTATTTTATTTCATTCCAACAATATTAGTTAGGAGAAATTATCCAAAATTTTTAGTCCTTTGGGCATATGTATAAGAGGATTTAACAAATATACCTAGGGTGAGAGTTATTTGTGCTTTTGTCTTGAAGGGGATTAGCTTGTTGAAGCTTTAAATAGGAAGAGTTCTTTGTCTGTAACTCGGTTCCATAAGGAAAGATCAAACTCACTACTTTTTTAATTATCACACACAAGTGAAAAGGTGTCACATCATTAAATCCATACACATCGTGTGTTATTGTTCCTGAAATTCTGGGCTAACACTATCCAATAGTAGATTATGTATAGAGTAATGGAGAGTTGATTATTAATCGTTAAGAACAGGTGAAGAGTGAACGACTTGTCTTTACAGTAGATTCATTGTGACACCTCAAATCTCTATTTGGTGGGATTTTAGTTATCATAAATCTGTAAAGGTTAAGTGAACTCACTTGGTTGCAGGATTTATACTTCGTTCACCATTGTTAGAAATTTAGTGTGTACCAAAGAGAAAAAATGGTCTTAACCAATTAAAGTTTTGTGTACTAATACTGGGGAAACTTACGAATCTTTTGGCCATTACGATTATTCCTCATCACTTATCCGACATATAACTAATTATCACGGAGATTGTAAGAACCTCGAGCCATTTCTCTAGTATCTTCTTGAAGTTCCAAGAAATCACGATGTACTTAAAATAGTGGTGTCTTTAAAAACATCAACATTCCCACCCATTGGTTGCTTATCGATTTGGCGATAGAACTCTGAATTGCTTTGATGAAAACGGTCGTGTGACTAGTTTAAAGATTTTCACCCATAGACCTAGTTACTCGGGGTTAGATGAGTGTTTCCTTTCTGCTTCAGTTACCAGTAAAGCACAAGTGATCTTACTTCTTTGTCTGAAAAGAACGCAGTCTATTATCAATTCAACTACTCCTGAGAAACGCTGTGATATATCTTCGCTCCAGGAGAAACCTTCTTGCCAAGACCAGTCTTTGCAGGTCTAAATCTCTCTGAGAAGAGGGTAACATTTCGTGACCGAGCTACTAGAGCGGGGCGTGAGTTTGGTTTCTTAAGTCGTGTTTCGAAAACTTATTGTCTTTATGCGAGCGGATGTTTTGGCCGCTTGAGCGGTCGTGCGTAAAATAGTCCAAAGAAGGCATTTTGGGTACTTTTTCATCTCATACCTCTCAAGGGTAAAAACAATTTCAAAACCACTAAATCTACACAACGAGGTCTTAAACACACCTCCTAATCTATCTCTCCTAGCATACTACTAGCCCAAATACACTACAATTCACATATGCGGTTGTCTAACCTAACCTTCAGCAGTAAATAGATTGAGCAATTTCACACATAGGGCAAAGGCTTCATCTAATCGGGTGAGGATGATAGTGTGTTCAGCTCCACCTTCAATTCTCTAGCCGTTTTGCCACCTTCCCTGGTAATACTCTTTGAAGTAAGGTATTCTGTGACCTTGTAATATGAATTTTAGTCATTATAATGATTCTTGAGAAAATGAGGTACACACTAACTCTGATAGATCGGGAATTTCGAGAACAACGCTTATCGGAGATTTAGATTTAGAAAATCAAACGAGGGAGAATTCAAATGGGGTTGTTGAGAGAATGGTGTGGGCAAAGTCAATTATGTTAACGATAGAAAATGTCCGATAGTATCCTCTAAAATTGATTATATCTAAATTAGAAGAGAATTGTCTAAAATTATTGAAAATTTTTTGGTATTGACAAGCAAAAAGAAAGTTTTGAGAAAAGGTATGGGATTTTATGTAGAATAATGGATCAATGCTTAATATGTATTGAGTAAGATCCATGTTGGACTGAATATATCACTCCTATTGAAAATGATGAATTAATATTGGATGGAAATATGTCACACAGTGCAATAACTAGTAATAATTATGGATTGAGCTGACTTGGTGAGATCAGACGTTTAGTATGTAATAACGATTTGCAATGAAGGTTATTGTCAAAATTGAAAAAACACCCCGAGTACACACAGGAGATTGATTTCATCATTAAGAATGCAGTTGAGGATATATAGTAATTAGAATTTTGAGATGGCAGGGGAAAATGTATGATTGAGCTTAGAGTGCAGAGTGGTTGTGCTAAATTGAATTATTTGGAAGCTGTACGACTCGATAAAGTCGAGAAATACCCCCGCAGTAGTTATGGCAAATAGATAGGCAGCCTGATATTCCTACTGTAAGTACAATCGGACAATGGAGCTATAGTTGAGCATCTATTATGTCCTACATGTCAAGACATTGTATCCTTCAATATTTTTCTAATCTGTTTTGCATCATCTGCCTTTTCTTAAAATTTTTTTCTTGAAGTCTTAGATATTGATTTGGTATAAATAAAAAGTTACTTAGAATTGAAATAAATATATCTTGACGATGCACGTTAAGATGGAAAAATGAGAATGTATTGACAATGGCAGCTAATATCATCTCTCCACCTTATATAGTAGATTATTTTGTCTAAAGCACTCATATACAGCTTAAGCATCCTACACTAGACTTTTGACTCAAGTTTAATATGTAACAACCTCAGTCGAATAATCCCTTCACCAACAGACTGTAACTGGAAACTTCAAGTCTTTTATCCAAGCTACGTCTTCTGAGTTATTGATGTATTTTTGCCATAGTCTGCGCATTCACTTATATGAGTTAAGAGCTCTTTTTGTGTACCCAACAGATTCGTTGCCTCGTGAAATGAGCCTTCTGTAGCTGGATTGATAGGGAAAGTGATCATTGAAATGTTTTACTCCGTTTACTGGTTAAATCATTATCTATGTCATATGTTTATCTCATGTGCTACGAAATGCTTACAATTTTCTTAATTTCCTGTAGTAGTTCCCGATAACTAACTTAATTCATCTTTTGCGATATAAGACGAAAGATATTTGAAGTAAATAGGAATATTATTGATGGTGGTGTTGAGTTCGAAATCGAAAGCCTCAAGCTGTATAAACTTTATTCCTAAATCGTAGTGGTTAGTTATTCTTTGTTATTCTCTTGCCATTATGTGCACATTCAACAATTGGATATCAGAACACACTACCGCGCTCCTGAAATACTTTAGAGATACGTTATATTTTGCCTTACGAACAATACGGGGTTCTCTTGCTTGAGCAGTAGTAAATTGAGTTAGAATAACCCGACGAGTCTATGTGAGGCACATGCTTATTGACTAATCCCAGCCGTATATAGGAGATGTTCCAATCATCCTTTAGATATTGTTGAGGTTTCGAAGACTATGTCTTAGAGAAAGTTCTGACTATATAGAAGCACTTGCCAATACACGGAACTAATCTCTCGTAACTGAACACTGAGCAATTCTGTCCTAACTGACACAGGTAACTACTACTCCGAGAATAAGTTCGTTATGTTTATGTATAGGTGCTATGTAGATAATAATGTTGTCGCTCACCCATAACAGAGCTGTTCAGTGAATGTCTTGCAAGACAACAGCTTTGTACATGTGCCGCTCACATGACCATCGTCTCCACCAATATTAGTACTATGTTCAGCATAAAACCACTAACACCGTGAGCTGCTGCTATACATGGGTTATACGTGCCGAGAGACCGGCAAAGTGAACGTTCCTGTATACCTTTTGCAACTTGACAACCGTAGGAACGTAATGCGTCGTCATAAGACTAGCTAATTTTACGCGTAGGGCTCAACTGAGGCACCAGCATTCACACAGCCCTAGCAACCTAGGGCCACACATTATGTGTCCTGTAAGATGCGTAGGTCGCTGCAGAAGACAGGACATTTTCAAAGCCCGTGAATCAAGGTCCATAGCCCAATGTGTTTTGTACCACAACCCTCAGTCTTCTGAGCGAGAGAGACGCGAGCTCAGGAAGTTCCTCAGGGGCCATCCTCTTGCGTTGAGGAAAGAAAGAGTGCGTTCCTAGGTCGAATTCCAGAAAGAGCCTTTTGGGAGCTGAGAGGAGCACAAAGAGCGATCAAGTGCTGCAACGTAGAGTCGAGATGAGATATAGCTAGAAAGCCGTTCGAGCCACGATCTGTCACATCGACGGAAAAAGTATTAGAGGGTGGCTTCATACTCTTGCGAGCGCGAAGGGATCAGGTCAAATTGAGTGGTAAGTATAACAGCGGGGTGCTGGGAGCCTTATCCATCTTTTGTCAACACCTTCCTGGACAAAGTGCCTTGACACAACTCTTGTCATGATTAGAGTGTAGCATCCATGCTTCAATTGAAATAGACAGTTAAGGTCGAGTTCTTAAAGCATTAACCAGCTAAACACACCTTAAATAGGTTAAGTCGCTTTACTCCAAAATCATAG